AGGAACAGCATGCACACTACTACTTCTTGGCGAGAAACCCCAAGCCACAATACAACACTCCACCAATTAACGCCTTCCACGAGCTAGATACCACCACCTGCTAACCCATACCTATAAATATCTACCAACAGTAATCACAATTCACACAACATTCAGCCTTGATAATGGATGCAGAACGCATTCGAAACGCGTCGGCCAACTCATCACTATCTACAACTTTTACCCGTTGTTCTAACAACGTTAAAACGGCTTATCGACTTCTTGAGAAAAATTCTAAGAAAGTAAACCTACAGACATCGGTCTTGTTTAACAAAATCGTAGTATCTAAATATTCATGAAATATATTATACAAACTATAAAATATTAAACTTAGACATTCAAACACTTTTCATATTATTTAGGGGAAAGTATAAAGTTGACGTTAACGATAATGTAATGTTAAGAACTACAGCAACACGACACAAATTGACAGTGAACAACACTCTCTGGTAGTTCGCGAGCGAACTATCTGCACACAGATCATAAAGGTTTCATCTTCCTACACCTTGGTCCTCTAGTAATAGCGCCCCTTAGTGCCACTTTGTTGAACTATGAAGTTATGTAAGCTCTTCGGTGAGGTGATTAATTGGAATCCGTGATGATAAGGGTCACAAGACCCCATCAGCCAAGTAGGGTGAGGTGGAATCCTTACTTCAGGTCGGGCTCCCTAAGTGCTAGTGTAAGAAAGCACAGTTCATTTTCCTATACCTGCAAAAGTTATATGTTAGTCAAATTTCATTTTGATAAAGAATATAAAAAGAAGTCCGTGAAGGTACAAGATGTATTTAATGATAGGATATCGTTAATATCTCCACGCGGCAATATGAAATACATGCAACTTTGTACATTCTTGAAGATGTATACTGCGAAGGTTTACTGGCATCTAACTGTAGTCATGATGTTTTTCTGAAGAATGTATATTAAATTGTTTTCATGTTAAAATATATTTGTATTAAATCGAAATGTTTAATTTGTCTGAATTAATAGGTGATAAGGAAGTGAGGAATATCTTGCATTTTAACTAATTAAGAATATATATATCTAATATTTCAGATTTATAAATGGTGATTTTAGATCTAAATCTTAATTAAAAGTACATGAAAAACAGGTATAATATCGAAGACAACAATTACATTTAAAATTGAGAAGTCACAAGGCTTTTGTTTCAATGTATCTGTTGACAACGCATTAAGTTAATTTAAAAAAAGATATAAACTTTATTGAAGAGTTTAGAACAAGCGTATGTCATATTTAACACATATATATATATACAGGCCAGTGTTGTTATTTGTATAGTAATAAGGATATTTTAAGCTCTTTTATTAAAAATATATTGTTGTGTTATTTTGTTAATTTGTAATACAATAGTCGCAAGAGAATCATCGATGATTTTTGATGAAGACTCTTTATTAGCCCCAGTAGTTTGCCTGAAGCGAATGTTTTATTTTGTTATAAGAATCAACGAAATCCACTCAGTATTATTTTACATTTCAATGTGGAAAGGAGAATATCTTACTCTCTTATTTCCGGATAACACTCTCTGTAAGAAATCTGTCAAAATACCTTTCTTTACTTCCAGCTTACTTCGTCCACCATAAATTAGACAACTTGGAAGTCGTCGTAGTCATGGTTATCACTGTTGTGGGATTTTTACTAACAGTCGTGCTGTTGTATGTCTTTTTCAAATCGTGAGTATTCAACAATATAGTAATCAATTTACATTAGCATCCTGAATTTTTTGGTATTGTTACAACTAGTTGTAATGTTATAAGTCATGTTCAGCCGTAAGCATTTCACACCACAGTGACCAGTTTACAATAAATCCTGATTGTTGAACTGTACTGGTATTGTTATATTGTGTTTTTTACTATTTGGAAATAAATAGAAAATACAGCAATCAAGGTATCTACATGTCATAAGTCAATAAACAACGGTATGTTGTGAAACTATTTCGACTGGTCTTTATCTTCTCTTTTTTTTTTACACGTAGTTTATAGAATAATCAGATCTGGGCTTGTCGAGACGTTATTGAGTTTGTGGACGAAAACACGTTTAAAAGCGAAGACACCTAACTGAAAACTGTAGATTTAGCTAGTATATTATTTGTAGATAGATAAGAAAAAAACGACAATTTTTCCCACAATTACTTTCTATATTAGTTTTTGCACTTTTGCTAATTTTACATTTTTCCCACTTATATTCGCCCCAACAATCCAGAAATGGTTAGCTATAATTGAAAATAAAGTATTGTTACGTCTCCGTGTGTTAATTAATTTTCCGTAACT